TCTCCATATCATGATATGTGGTCAGCATAAACATTGTTGGACCCCATTGACTTTCATTATATGGAGAAAACGCCACACAAACGAAACAGCACGAGATCGAGTGAATGATGCTTTTTATTTTGTGTGCCTTTAAAGAGAGGGGAATTCTGGGATTTCAGAAGATCCATAATTATGCTGTTGCTAATTCAAACCTGAAAAAAACAGACCAAAGACAATAAATGTAACACTTTTAAGCAATGTATATATAATATTTGTTTTCGCTTTACAATAAGGTTCTATTTGTTAACATTATTTACCTGCATTAGTTGCATGAACTTATAATAATAATAATAAAACATGTTTTACTCTTAGCTAGTTTTAATTACATAATTAAAATCAAAAGCCGTATTTGTTAACATTATTTAATGGACTTAGCTAATACAAACTAACAATAAACAGTTGTGTTTTTATATTAACTAATGTTAATAAATTGTATTACTTATAGTTATTTAATGCATTACCCGACATTAACTAATGGGATTATATTATCACAACATTTTTCCTTTTGTCAAATCAACTAAGATAATTAATGTTGAGTTTCTGTTGATTAAACCAATCTTCTTCATTGAATTAACTCAAATTTTTAATTTCAAAGAACTCCACATTTCAATGCAACCAGGTTACTTACTTTTTTATGTTAAACCAACAATATTTTTGTACAGTCACTTTAGTGGTCCAATTCTCCCTATTAACTAGCTTGCATATCACTAGTATATTGGCTGTTTATTATTACTTATAAAAGTTACAGATAATAGTTAGAATTGGACCCTTAAAGGAGTAGTTCACTTTTAAAAAACTTTTGCTGATAATTTACTCACCCCCATGTCATCCAAGATGTCCATGTCTTTCCTTCTTCACTCGAAAAGAAATTAAGGTTTTTGATGAAAACATTCCAGGATTTTTCTCCATATAATGGACTTCAATGGGAACAAACGTTCAAGGTCCAAAAGACAGTTTCAGTGCAAACTGTTCAAAGGGCTTTAAACTGTTCGAACTCGTTCATCAAAATGAACGAATCTTTTTTCGAGTTATTTGGTTCATTCAATGAACAAAATTAACGAAATGACTCGAAAAAAGATTCGTTCATTTTGATGAATGAGTTCAAACAGGAGAGTCACACAGAAAAGAGCAAGGCGAGCATTTGTGCTTATAAAACTTAACATTTTTTATTTATTTTTTAAATGAGCGATCGTTTCGCTTGATAAAACCCTTATTCATCGTCTGGAATCGTTTAAAGCCCTTTGAACAGTTTGCACTGAAACTCTCATTTGGACCTTGAACCGTTTGGACCCCATTGAAGTCCATTATATGGAGAAAATCCTAGAATGTTTTCATTAAAAACCTTAATTTCTTTTCGACTGAAGAAAGAAAGACATGGACATCTTTAATGACATGGGGGTGAGTAAATTATCAGCAAAAGTTTTTTTTTTAAAGTGAACTACTCTGTCCTTTAACGAAAGTATGACCATGAAGGGTTACTATTTTTTCTTTAATATTTTGTATTTTCCATTATTTTCATGATAAAAAATATTTATTTATTTCCATACAAAATAATACATTTTATTAATAACATATATACTGTTTTTCAATGAAAAAGTTTTTAGTAAAACTGTTGCCTTATTTGAAAAAAATCTTGACAATTCCACATTACTTAATTTTTTTGATTAAGCATGAAGTTTATTTACTTGATCATTTAAAAGGCATTTTTTTGTTAAGTAAGTAACCCTTTTGACTAATCTCACACACTCTTCTGCATGCACTCCTCAGTTCAGTTGTGTGATAGTGTGTGTGTGTGTGTGTTTGCAGGTGCGAGGGAAGATCTGTGCGTATCTCCACCAGGAGCAAAGCGGCCGAGGGAAACTGGACAAGCCTCGAGCCTTCAGCCTGCTGTGTGTCATGGCGGATCAGACGCTCTTCTCCATCGTGGAGTGGGCAAGAAGCTGTGTCTTCTTCAAGGAACTAAAGGTACAGCTCCCAGATAAGGCCATAATCCCAACAAGTGTTTTGTCTAATCAAAGTCAAAGTATTTTGGAGAAAGTCTGCTATTTTGTCGGCGAATCATGTATCTGCGTGAAAGATAACAGCGGGGACGCCGAGGCATTCAGATATTCTCGTCAAGCAGCTTTAAAACTAAGATTACATTTGAATGTTTCGATTGTAGTGGCAGCATCGCTGATATCTGCCTCGAAGCGTCACAGTCGCGAATTCTTGCTCGCTCTCCAAAGGTTTTGACTGGCTGTTAATGGAAGCTAAATAGCTAAATTTATCAGATCTGGTCACTCTGTTGCTATTCACATCAGGGAGTCCATTCCCAAACAGATACAGTGTTGGATTTGCTCCGCTCTGACCTCTTATGAACACATTTATCAACATACAGTCAAACCAAAAATTATTACTAGTGTGTGCAGGACACTATAGTTCATAAGTGAGGATTGCAAAATAAAGTCAACTGTGACATATTATACACAAATATTCTTCATATAGTGACTAGCAGTAGAAATGTTGGATCAAAAACGATTGGTCCACTTTGAGCTGATGATGTTCTGCTGAAGTGTGTTTTCTGTAAATGCTCTCCCTGAAGCATTGCTTGGTCACTGGTTGAGCTTAAACTCAACAGCTGACAGATATTCAACATAATTCATGTGTGAGAGTCAAACAGAAGGATCAAATATCCACTGAATTCTGCTCATATTTATCACCATTTACTAAACTATAGCGAATAAAATGTTGAACACATTTTGGTTTGACTGTACGTTACAGTCGATAAATGCCTGCAGGCTGGAATGAATTCAAGAGAATCGTGTAGAATTAGAATTTGGAACTTTGTTTTTGCACATTCACACCTGCGTGACCGTCGCATTCCATTCTGTCGCCATGGCAACCAGCGTCAGGATTCCGAATGATGCGTAAAATGTTTCAGTTTTTGAAAACGCATGCCAGCGACTGACTGGACGCTTAATTACATTCCGCGCAGAAGATAACTCAGGAATCCCATGCAGCGCTCCCTCGCCGCCGCCGCCGCATGGTGTGTGTACACTCTTAGAAGAAATGGTTCTATTTAGAACCAGAAATGGTTCCATCCCCCGCTTCATATATGGAACTCCAAAATGGTTCTATATAGAACCATTTTTTTTTTTGGTAAAAGGTTCTATTGGCCAAGTATGGAACCCCAGGGTTCTATATAGAACCCAGAGGAACCCTTTTTTTAAGAGTGTAGAGAACCTTTTAGGGGTTCCAAATACGTAGCGCTGATAGAACCTTTTAAGGTTCTATATAGAACCTTTTCTTCTAAGAGTGTATGTCCTAGTAGGTTTGTGCATGACAATCTGAAGTGTGCCACTTGTGTGAGTGAGGTCAAGTGTGCAGGATTAGATGTGGATATGCACTTCTGGCTGAGGTTGATGTATGTGACGCTACACTTGTGTCAGAGCACGTGTGGCCTTCAAAACCAGTGCTGAATATGAGCACGACACACACAGGGTTGGGGGGGAGGAAGACGCGCGACTGATGAAGGACGCGAGGTCATCGTCTGACGCTCGTAAATACAGCACTCGTTTTATGATCTCGGTTCATCTGGATGCTAGGGTTGCATTGCTGTGGATGTTCGAGTCAGCTTTGAGTTAAACCAACTGGACGTCACATTTATTATTGTTTTCAGGAGAATTGTCGTAAAGCCTTTGAAATCTTTAGATCATCTACTCCTATTCTACATGTTTTGGCCTGTTTGCAGTTTCTCATACACTCGTTTACGCAGCTTTGATATCAATCACTCGTCTGTGTATGTTGTTCCAAAACATGACTTTCTTTCTACTGTACACAATTCAACCTCACGTGATGTCGTGAGCTCCAGCCAATCAGAGCAAGGCATGGGTTGAGGTCACCGGATAAATCTTATTTTTTCTTCTTTTGCATTTTTTCAAAAAGAAAAAAAGAAAATCATTGCGCAAACAGTTTGAAGCACTAGTTTCTGACGTCCAAATTCGCGTGTTGTGTTCTTCGTCTTCTTCGCTGGGTATTGTGTGTGTGTGTGCTGTTTTGTGTCATTTCAGGTTCGTTTTATCATGTGATTTTTCGTGACAAAACGTGGTTTGTCGACAAGATAGAATCGTTGGGTGACAGAGTTGTTGTCACCGACGTTGTTTGCCCAACGTTTTAAAATCATGTATTGTGAACAAGGCGTCAGTCTCTAGTCTTTCTGTCAGTCTCTAGTCTTTCTGTCAGTCTCTAGTCTTTCTCTCAGTCTCTAGTCTTTCTGTCAGTCTCTAGTCTTTCTGTTAGTCTCTAGTCTTTCTGTCAGTTTCTAGACTTTCTGTCAGTCTCTAGACCAGGGCTATTCAATTAGCTTCATTCGAGGGCCGCATTATTAAATCGAAAAGTTGAGCTGGGCCGGTGGGTTTGGCTTATTTATTGAAACATAACAGTATCATTAAGTAAGCTAAAGTAAACAAAAAAAAATGGTTTTGCATTTAATAGGAAATGTGGTACTCAACAGTATGCAGACCATAATAAATAACTTTTTTACAGCTATATACAAATATATTGAATTATACAATATCATAGCTATGGCTATTGGTAAGAATTATTTTATTAATAATTATTAAAGGCTTAAATTAAATATCCTGACAGTGAGACTTGTGGCTCACTACTTATAAAAATGCCTAAATAGGTAAACAATTATACACACAATGAATTATATATTCCTCTACCCCCTAATAAATCTAATGCAAAATAAATGACTATTACATAGTATTCAATATAAATATTCCACATTTCTGCCCAAACCATGGTAATTATTACATTCATAGTAAATGTTTGTAAGGGTGGTGATTATGGCATTTATACTAGCTTCTAACTTTGTTCATGTTTCTGCTATTTACCTCATCAATAGTGTCGCGAATGTTAAGGCTGTTTCATCCGATTTAAAACTAGATAAAATCATTGAGGGATTTGTGGTTTGTAACAGAGAGGAGTGTCGATTGAAACGCTTCTCAATGGATGTCGAAACGCTGTTTAATAATAGTATCCGGGACCGGGAGTAAACGCAACTCCTTTAAGCTTGCGTTCCGTTATCCACTGGACCGTGCTGCCTAGTTCAAAGTAAACTAGTGAAACAACTGAAACCAGCACTATTTTGTTCTCTATTTGTTCTTACTGACCGAGAAACCGCTTAAGATGATTCAGTGACAGAAAGGTCCGAACGAATCCGAATCGTTTCCGACCGTTATGCACGCACGTTTGGCCAATTTATGAAAAGGAAATAGGAATCGATCCAACGAATGATTAATATCGCTGGTTCAGTCGACAGAAATACGGGACGCACTGCTGAAATATTCGGACTGAAAACGTTTCTCTCAGGTCAGTCGGAGCGCTCATGGTACACACACAGTGCGTATAGTCATCCAGCTGCACGCGCCACTGCGGCCACGCGCAAATCAAACCAAATTTAGCCACACCACCAGAAAATAGGAGGGGAGGTTGGAGTGCTTTCGGGCCGCATGGAGATGATTGGCGGGCCGCACTTGGCCCGCGGGCCGCCAATTGAATAGCCCTGCTCTAGACTTTCTGTCAGTCTCTAGTCTTTCTGTCAGTCTCTAGTCTTTCTCTCAGTCTCTAGTCTTTCTGTCAGTCTCTAGTCTTTCTGTCAGTCTCTAGTCTTTCTGTCAGTTTCTAGACTTTCTGTCAGTCTCTAGACTTTCTGTCAGTCTCTAGACTTTCTGTTAGTCTCTAGTCTTTCTGTCAGTCTCTAGTCTTTCTGTTAGTCTCTAGTCTTTCTGTTAGTCTCTAGTCTTTCTGTCAGTCTCTAGTCTTTCTGTCAGTCAGTCTCTAGTCTTTCTGTCAGTCTCTAGTCTTTCTGTTAGTCTCTAGTCTTTCTGTCAGTCTCTAGTCTTTCTGTTAGTCTCTAGTCTTTCTGTTAGTCTCTAGTCTTTCTGTCAGTCTCTAGTCTTTCTGTTAGTCTCTAGTCTTTCTGTCAGTCTCTAGTCTTTCTGTCAGTCAGTTTCTAGTCTTTCTGTCAGTCTCTAGTCTTTCTCTCACTCTCTATTCTTTCTCTCAGTCTCTAGTCTTTCTGTCAGTCTCTAGTCTTTCTGTCAGTCTCTAGTCTTTCTGTTAGTCTCTAGTCTTTCTGTCAGTCTCTAGTCTTTCTGTTAGTCTCTAGTCTTTCTGTTAGTCTCTAGTCTTTCTCTCAGTCTCTAGTCTTTCTCTCAGTCTCTAGTCTTTCTGTCAGTCTCTAGACTTTCTCTCAGTCCCTAGTATTTCTGTCAGTCTCTAGTCTTTCTCTCAGTTTCTAGTCTTTCTGTCAGTCTCTAGTCTTTCTCTCAGTTTCTAGTCTTTCTGTCAGTCTCTAGTCTTTCTCTCAGTCTCTAGTCTTTCTGTCAGTCTCTAGTCTTTCTCTCAGTCTCTAGGCCCTGCCCTCTTTTTACCTGATTCATTCGACCCATCTGATCTCCCTTGTTACCCTTCTGTTTTCCTATTTATTCTCGTTGTGTTCTGTGTTCTGTGTTCTCTGTCCTGTCACTGTGCCTGTGATCGTCACTTATGTGCCAACAGCCAGCAGCCATATCACCCTGTACCCAAGACTGGTTGCCCATTAAAGCTAAGCAGGGCTGAGCCTGGTTAGTACCTGGATGGGAGACCTTCTGAGAAAGCCAGGTTGCTGCTGGTAGAGGTGTTAGTGAGGCCAGCAGGGGGTGCTCACCCTGTGGTCTGTGTGGGTCCTAACGCCCCAGTAAAGTGATGGGGACACTATGCTGTCAAAAAGAGCACCGTCCTTCGGATGAGACGTTAAACCGAGGTCCCGACTCTCTGTGGTCATAAAAAATCCCAGGATGTCTTTCGAAAGAGTAGGGGTGTAACCCCGTCATCCTGGCCAAATTTGCCCAGTAGCCTCTGTCCATCATGGCCTCCTAATCATCCCCATATACACCAATTGGCTTCATCACTGTCTCCTCTCCACCAGTAAGCTGGTGTGTGGTGAGCGTTCTGGCGCAATATGGCTGCCGTCGCATCATCCAGGTGGATGCTGCACATTGGTGGTGGTTAAGGAGATTCCCCCCTTCTATGTGAAGCGCTTTGAGTGTCCAGAAAAGCGCTATTTAAATGTAACGAATTATTATTATTATTATTATGTTATTGTGCAGAAGCCTTGTCTGTTTGTCGTGCTTTGCTGTCGTGTTTTTTTAAGTTTTGTCCTGGTTATTGTTTGATTAACTAAAGCCCTTCAAAAGTATTTTCAGTGAAAAGTGAACCAAAGACAGTCTCAAAAACACGGTTTAAAATCGCTGACATCACAAACTACCTTTTAATCAGATCAACGTGTGATCGACAACCAGTGGCCCTCTGAGCTGAGTGAGTGAGTGAGTGGAGGCGGGGCATAGAATCGCGTATACTAAATGAGGCAAGGGTGTCGAGTTACATTCAAGCAATTTTACTAATATAAACATTTAAATATGTAATTTTGGTGATTGAAGATTATTGGGGAGAGTCACTTTAAGTCACATTATGCTTTAAATCAGTATCATAGAGACCTAATACTGTGAGCGCATAACAGCTCTTCATTTCCCATGATTTAGGTTGGAGATCAGATGCGACTGCTGCATAACTGCTGGAGCGAGCTGTTGCTTCTCGATCATATCTGCAGACAGGTGCATCATGGGAGAGACAACACTCTGCTGCTCATTACAGGACAGGAGGTGAGAATGAGATTATCCAAACAATCACGTGTCATTATGGAAAATCATAACATTTAATTACAAAGAGCCTAATGAACGGGGGATCCACGTTAAACATCTCAAACAGTAAATGCTGATTCGTCAGTGACTAATATATCCGCCAGAAGGGAGAGAGGCAGACTCTTAGTGGGAGGTGGCCAGCTTTGTTTGATGAGCTGATGTCATTTCCACTGAAACAGGAAGCTAAGGCGGGACATATTGAATGGCTCCTCCCCCTTTTCAAATAGCCAATAGCATTTAGTTTCCCTCACAGACTGACAGCACCATGGAAGCGAATCCGAGCGCTGATTATACGTTGTCTTATTATATGATCTGATTATTATGCCATCGAACAGTAAAACTTGAGCATTTGAGCAACTGAACACACACTTCTCTGACCCATATTGCTCCGTGAGTGTCAATGCTCGCTTCAGCCAGGTGTTTATAGCACAGAGGGCGGAGCTTCAATGTGATTGGACAAGCTGAAGTCCCTGATCCATTTCAGCAGAAGTGCTTTATTTGCTTATATCTCCTAAATGCACGTTTTGTCATTTGGTTTGATGCACACCAGTTTATTTATAACCTTAAGGCTAACATGTTCATACATAGAGCTAAACAACTTTTACTGTAGATTTAAATAATCTGTCTCTTTTAGGCTTCTACTGTGTTGTTATTTGGGCTTTTAATGCTCCAAACCTCATTGATGCATGAGCAGCGTTGTATAGAGGTGAAAGATCTGTGTGTGTGTGTGCTGTAGGTGGATCTGTCGGCGGTGTGTGACGCGGGACCGCCTCTGTCCAGTATGGTCCAGAGAGGACAGGATCTGGCCAGGAGACTTCAGCTTCTTCAGGTGGACAGAAGAGAGATGGCCTGTCTGAAGTTCCTCATCCTCTTCAACCCCAGTGAGTCTGAGCACACACATCGACGGAGAACTACATTCAGCGCCATCCGGACAAAAAAGTGTCCAAATCAACCTGATTCCCCTATACTTTTTATAATAATAATAATATAAACTTATTTCTATAGCACCTTGAAAAGTTACATCTCGAAGTGCTTCACATAAAAGAGAAATACAACAACATAAAAGAAAAGAGAAGTACATTCAAATACATAATACAAAAATGTTATCAAAAGAGTTTCAGAAGTAAACGGTATAGAAAAAATAGTTAATCAAATAAAAGCTACCTTAAAAAAGTATATTTTGAGGGAAGCGTTAAAGGAGTAGTTCACTTTAAAAAGAACTTTTGCTGATGATTTACTCGCCCCCATGTCATCCAAGATGTCCACGTCTTTCTTTCTTCAGTCGAAAAGAAATTAAGGTTTTTGATGAAAACATTCCAGGATTTTCTCCATATAATGGACTTCAATGGGAACCAAACGGTTCAAGGTCCAAATAAGAGTTTCAGTGCAAACTGTTCAAAGGGCTTTAAACGATTCCAGGCGATGAATAAGGGTCTTATCAAGCGAAACAAATCTTTTTTGAGTCATTTGGTTCATTCAATGAATAGATTTGTTCATTTTGATGAACGAGTTCGAACAGGAGAATCACAAAACAGAGCAAGGCGAGCATTTGAGCTGATAAAACTTAAACTTTGTTATTTATTTATTAAATGAGCGATCGTTTCGCTTGATAAGACCCTTATTCATCGTCTGGAATCGTTTAAAGTCCTTTGAACAGTTTGCACTGAAACTCTCTTTTGAACCTTAAACCATTTGGACCCCATTGAAGTCCATTATATTGATCCTGGAATGTTTTCATCAGAAAGAAAGACATGGACATCTTGGATGACATGGGAGTGAGTAAATTATCAGCAAAAATTTTTTTTTTTTTTTTCAAATTGAACTTCTCCGTTAAAGACAGACCATTTCAGAGTTTTAGTACTTAGTAAGATCTTTCAATCCAAAGATGTGAATGTAACTTTAGCTATCATAAAACTGTTTCCAAACCATGTGTTCAAGAGAACCATCGTGTTTGTTTGTTTTTTGCCCATCAAGGGATTTATGCAGTAAACGTGTTTCCATCATAGTCGTCTTATTGGATGTAAAAAAAAAGTCTGCCTCAATTAAGCGCATATGTTTTTATGCGCATTTTTATTTTATTTATGGCCATCTTGATGTTTTGATCCAGCATTTTTTTATGCAAAATCCCAAAATGCGCAGAAAAATATACAGTGGAAGCAGCTAAAGACAATATAATAGAGTGTAATCAAAGAAAATGTATCCATATTAAAGAGTTGTGGTGATATAAAGTGATTAAAACTGATTAAAGAATGTTTAGGCATGTTGTCACACATTTAACATTGAATATAAAGTAAGTTTATTCTTTCAGGATAGTACATTTGTTAAATCTGACCTTCTAGTCACTATTTTCAACACACTTTGATTTTAGGAGAGATGAATTGCAATACTTAAAGTGTATCCTAAATACATGAGTTTAATAAATTTTGCAAACACTTATTAAAATGAACAAAAGCCCCGTCTGAACGACAGCTTGCTCTTGTGCGCAGCAACAAACCCTTTCCTAGAAATGTTCAATTACAGTTTCATTAGACACAATAAACTAACATCTGAAAGGAGAAAAGCGAAAACATTTGAAAGAGGAAGAATTCGCCGTCTCTCGCTCGTCACATTGATTTCTTCATTCTTTGGCCGAATGAAAGCAGCTTTATTGAGTCATTTGTGTCCTTCAAACACTCTGAAAACATTATTCAACATTTTAATTACTGTGTGAAAGGCTCTTCTGCTAATGCTTTAAAGTGCTCCGTTAATGGGCCAGGCTATTGTCACCCTCACACACACACACACACACACGCACACACACACACACACACACACTCTCGCTTCACTGACTCTATCACACACACACACACACAAATACACACACACTTGCTTCACTCACTCACTCGCTCACTCACTCACTCACTCACTCTCTCTCACACACACTCTCGCTTCACTCACTCACTCACTCTCTCTCTCTCTCTCACACACACACACACACACACTCTCTCGCTTCACTCACTCACTCTATCACACACATAAACACACTCACACACACACACACACACACACGCACACTCTCGCTTCACTCACTCTATCACACACACACACTCTGGCTTCACTCAGTCTATCACACACATACACACACACACTCAAGCACTCAAACACACACACTCTCTCTCACACACACTCTCGCTTCACTCTCTCTCTCTCTCTCTCACACACACACACACACACACACACACTCTCTCTCTCACAGACACAAATACACACACACTTGCTTCACTCACTCACTCGCTCACTCACACACACTCTCGCTTCACTCACTCACTCTCTCTCTCTCTCTCTCTCTCTCTCACAGACACACATACACACACACTTGCTTCACTCACTCACTCGCTCACACACTCTCTCTCCACTCACTCACTCTCTCTCTCTCACACACGCACACACACACACACACACACACACACACTCTCTCTCTCTCACAGACACACATACACACACTCTCGCTTCACTCACTCACTCTCTCTCACACACACACTCACTCTCTTTCTCACTCTCACACACACACTCGCATATGTTGCACACACAACACTCACTCACTGGCACTCTCTCACTCACTCTCTCTCTCTCTCACTCACTCGCTTCCAAACACACACTCTCTCTCTCTCTCTCAAAAAACACGCTCGCTTCCACTTTCACTTCCACTTCCACTCTCTCTCTCTCACACACACACACACACACACATGCTCGCTTCCACACTCTCTCACTCACTCACTCTCTCTCTCTCTTTCTCTCACACACTCTCTCTAACGCTCTGCCTGCTCCTCAGACGTGAAGCTCCTGGAGAACCAGCCGCTAGTGGAGAGTGTGCAGGAGCAGGTGAACGGGGCTCTGCTGGAGTACACACTCTTCTCGTACCCTCAGTGTGTGGATCGCTTCGGTCAGCTGATCCTGCGACTGGCGGAGGTGCGTTCGCTGAGCGCGCAGGCCGAGGACTATCTGTGTTACACACACCTGTGTGGAGAAGTGCCCTGCAACAACCTGCTCATAGAGATGCTTCACGCCAAGAGGTCGACCGCCGTGTGAGATGTGCGCCAAATGGATGTCCAACCGTTTTCCAAATACCCAACGTGACGAATGGACAGATTTGATTGAATCTGTATTCCTTTTTATGCATGACAATCACTGACGGACACGGAGGCGTTTTTGTATTTGCAATAGTGTTTCCTTCTTAGTGCTGTTTTGTTACTCTCTGGGCTATAACGGTAATAACGGCAGAGTGCAACAGCTGGTTCCCAAAGTATTTTTTCCATTCGTTTATCCAAAGGAAGTCTTTGTTAAAGCGTTGTAAGCCATGAAACAAACCAACCAGCTTCGAGGAGAATCACAACATCACAAAAAACATTGATTTGAAGCAAAAAAAAGTGAAAAGCAACGGTCCTAGTACTGAGCCTTGGGGTACTCCACACTGAGAATCACTACACTACCAACATCCATTCGAAGCAAAAACGTTTTTGAAAATCGCTATCAGTGTTGTAGTCGAGACCACCTCATTCGAGTCCGAGTCGAGACCAGCGAGGGTTGATTACCTAATTTACTTTTATTTACTTAGAGAAATCCTTTTTTTTTTCTTACTGAATTTACTTAGAGTTTAAAAAATATGATCAGTTTAGGGTAAAAAGGCCACATAGTAGGTGGTGTTAAAAGTAATTTTATTACAATTTGTCATGCGCAGTTGCACACTAGAAAATCAACAATCACTGGGCGTGTCAATCAATTTAAAGAAATTTAAATTAAAAATATGAAAATATGGTCTCGAGACCGAGACGAGTCCGAGTCTCGAGTATTACAACACTGATCGGTATGATGGTACGAATGAGACAGATTTAGTGAGGGAAAGAACTACAATCCCATGAAGCGTCTGAACACCATAATCGAATCAAAACGGAAAACACAGAGCTTATCTTTAGAGAGATTGTGTGTGTGTTAAACAACATATTTTAAGATAATTGCGAAATATGCACAGGGTGAATGCAGATAAAGTGAAATCTTTTTGTTAAATGTGCATTTCTTTCATTAACTTTAAGGTCCAGCTAAATTATTTCAATTTAAATATGGTTCAAAATTTGTTATTTTCCAGGAATATATATATATATATATATACTAATAAATATTTTGAGATCATGCACTCCAGACAATTTTTTTTTAGGTAAAGTGGGCCGTCCCTAATTTATCAAAAATAAATCTGCATCTTTAATTTTAAAAGCACATTGTTTATTAACCTATAATTATACATTTATGTTAAAAACAATTCAATTATATTCAACGAATTTATATATTTAAAAAAAATCCCCAAAACACATTTTTAAAATTGACTTAATTCACGTGTAAAATTCAAAACAACTGATTGAACATGTTGTGTTGGATATCAGACTATTCACAAATCTGAATATGGATGGAAATGAACTATACAACATTAAAATGTGACTATAACACATAGGCTGAATAAGAGGAACATTCAAAATTGTAAAAGTAACAATTTCTTTGCGTTTTATTCCCTTAACTGTGGTAACAAACAAAATAGGAAGTGTCACAATAATCTTTGTTGACATTTAGTGAGCAACATTACAAAAATCTAATGTCAGAGGGTTTTCTACCGAGGTGTGGCCACGCCCACAAGTGTCATATTACATCAGCCAGAACTATTTGATCATTTAAATAAACAGTGTCACTTTAATTAATGAACATTGTTATGCTTTGTAAACCCATTGAGCAGCTTCAGTCAAGCTTTAAACGCTAGACTGACTCGATTACGCCATTCGCGGAGCTTCATGGGAGTGGGCGGAGCTAAAGAGCTCTTTTGGTTCATTCTGCTCGTTTTGACTCTCTGATAGGTGGAATTTTCTCTACAGCATCATGGGTAATGTAGTTTCCACTGTTATTTTAAAATGAAGTTGAAATAATGTGGGCTGACTTCTTTAACGGAAGCAAATAAAACCATTAATTACGACTCGTAGCTCACAGCAGCAGGGCTGTCTTTTATGGTTTATATTTCTCGTTAAATATCACGTTTTTTCACCCTAACGGAGAAAATGAATGGAGTTTTTTTAGTTCTGGAACCGATTGTTGCACTCCAAGGGCGATATTTATGTATCTTTGTTATATACCGTATTGCTCCTGTGCTTTTAAATGGAGGAAGAGTTTTGTACTTTTCTTGTTCGTCAATTCAATAGCTATTTAAAAAACGTCCACAAAGGGCCCGTCCAAAAGAATCAAATTAAACGAGAGAAGGTATTTATTGAGATAATGTAATGAACTGTATCTATGAAAGTATTTAAAGCACATTTTACATAGATTGCACATTTATTTGTCTTTCCATTTAACTGAAAAATTTGGTTGCAATAAAATAATAAATAAAAATCACGCGGTTTGTGTGAGAGTGTATGTGAGGGAAGAGTGTGTGTGTGTGTGTCTGAGTGTATGGTTGAGAGAGAGATGCTTCGTCTGAATCAATTCGAACCAATACTTTTTCTAATAATTTTATTCTAATCCAATATAATTTCCTGTGTCTCATTTTAAAAACATACACACATGACTACAGAGATACTCACTTTCCACATCGAAGCAAACCAAAGAAACATTAGTTTTAACAGTGAGTAAAAAAGTAATACTGCAGTTTTATATGCATCGTACAAAAATAGGGAGTAAAATAAATATGTACAATAATGCATAATTCAGTGGGGTAGTAGAATTACAGCATTAATACAGCAACACAATCAGTCTGGATGTGTTTTTAAAGTGTCCTGCCATCAGATACACACACACACACAGACCACGTCACTATTAATCATGTGTTATTGACATACTGACCGATGACGATCACACACTCCTGTTCTCAGCACTGAACATCTACTGTACATACAGCAGCACATTACTATGATGCCAGTGTTGTTGAGCTGGGCTCAGTCTCATGTTTGTGGAGATGTGATTAAACACACACACACACACACACTCAGTGCTGGGAATGAGCCGGCCGGAGGATTGTGGAGGCGTGTGTGTGAGTTATGTCTTCATCCCGGGATCAGTCACGAGTTATAGCGTCGTCTTCTCCTCAGCAGCCTGTGGTGAAGAGGAGAGAAACAGCAGTGTGTGTGTGTGTGTGTGCGCATCATTTAAAACATTCACCAGATTATGAGCTGTGTTAGTGAAGAACTAGTGTGCCCCCTACGGTCTGAGTGTGGACACACACTCATGCACACACACACACACACACACCTTTACCTGAAGGCTTGAAGGCCGTCAGCTGAACCACCTGAAAGCAAACAGCCTGCTGGGATTTATTACGTCACGTTCAGTTTATTAGTAAAGCTCTTCTTGCTGTTCACATTGCTTTTTTAAAGGGGACATATCACGCAAAATCCACTTTTTTAGCCCTTAAATGCATTTTGTTGTATATTTGAAGTGTTTATAAGTACAGAAAAGATGAAATTATTCTCTTCAGGTGCTTCGTTTATATCTTTATATTCTGTTTTGGTCATATTTTTCAACCTGTTCAGATTTTTCTGTCGTCTATGACGTTTTTTGAGGAAGTGCGTCACCGTATTTGCAGCGAAACTGACGAATAAGGACATCGACTTGGACCGGTCCAACACTTCGAGCAATCCGCCATTATTATTTCTCGCTCCGATTTTGTAGTCCGAGCTCAATGATGCAGAAGTTACGAGAGGGCGAGTCAAAATGTTCGGTTTTTGGATGTACATTAGTGACCTGAAGCACTTCAAGGATTCCCACTTCAACAACCTCCGCCAGTGTAAAGAAGGGTTTGCCGATCGACTTCGTCTGAATGAGAGGTAACGTTAAATTCCTTCTATCTTTGGAGACGACGAACAAAGCATTTCCATAAGCTGTAAATATCGTTAATAAAGATAAAGTACTTTACTTTCTTAAAACACATGGTGGTCGTGGTTTAGCAGTACCTTTGTCTTTCTTTGTTTTGTTTTGAAGTAACGTTACACGTCTGCAGTATTATTGTTCTTGAGTTTCAGCAATGCTCATTTAGCTGCTTTTCTAAACGCATCATATTATCAATACAGATTTTTTGTGGTAAGATTAGACCGTAGTCATTTATCTTGTCAGTGTTATTTAAAGGGGCCGCTTTGAAACGGGTCGCTCACAGACACACATCAGAAAAGGGGCCTGTGGAGCTATAATAATGAGGAATTCAGACCCAAGCATTGCACTTATGCTTTATATAGACCACAAGTGTATGATTTATAAGTAAAAATGAATGATTTAAAAGCATGATATGCACCCTTTAAAGCAGCTTCACAAAAAATCATAATGTAATGTTCTATCGTAATATCATCATGCCTTATAGTTGAGTTTAGGAGATTACAGATGGACCCGAGTCTCTTCTGCTCAACATTTATTTGATCAAAAATACAGTGAAATATTACTACAATTTAAAATAAACAGTTCTCTGTGTGAATATATAGTAAAGTGTAATTTATTCCTGTGACTTTCAGCATCATTACTCTTCAGTGTCACATGATCATACAGAAATCACTCTAATATCAATATTGAACGCAGTTTTGCTGCTTCGTATTTTTGTGAAAACAGATTTTTCTGGATTCTCTGATGAACAGAGAGCTCAAAAATTTTGAAAAGTTTGAAATCGAATCTTTTGCAATATTATACATTTCTCTACTGTCACTTTTGCTCAATTAAAAGTATTAATGTTTGGACAGTTTCCCCAACAATATGAAGCAGCTCGTCTGGTTTTGCAGCTTACCTGACTCTTGTGGGCTGCTTTTAATGGGAGATTCACAATTTTGTCCTCTTTATAAGATTCTAGAGGAAAGGACAGATGTTTTATCAAGTACACAGGCTTTTTAGCGACTAAAGGTGACGGTAACACACTGAAACGAGCAGCGCACGAGTCTCACACACCGTTCTTGAAGGTGAGCGGGTTAGCGCTCGCGGGAGTCGAGCTCTCGCTGCTCTCAGGAGTGGAAAGAGTCGGCAGACTGTGTACCCATGATGCACTGGGGGACTTCTGCGAGGGCAAGAAGCTGATTGGCTGAGAGCAGTTCTGCAAGAGGACATGACATCAAAAGTGAGTTCAATAACCGAGAAAAGGGGCATACGTGAATCAGCAAAAACAAGGTCTTACTGTAAATGACAAGGCTTTCCGCTTGTCCTGAATCCTCCTTATCGCGCTCCGCACCTGCGTCAGCACACACACTCACGTACAGTACACTGTTGCAATCATGACACGGAAACATGAACACACCAGAGATGAAGTCATACCTCACTGTTGTAAACCGCATACACCAGAAATATGTACAGCCCCTGGAACATGAACACTTGATTATGACCAAAATCATGAACATAATTATTGAGATCACAATTAAGTTATTAAACATTAAGCATGTGGTCTTTATGAGTGAGTCATTAAATCATTCACTTAACTGATTCATTCAAATGGATGATTCATTCAGGGACAAAGCATGCGTACCCCTTTCGTTTTTTTTTTTCGGGCGAAAAATTAAGTTTCTCCAATCTTCTCAAAACTCTGGATTCTGATAGAG